AAAGAAAGTAAAAGAGATTTTGAGATGATTCAAATAAAAACAAAAAAATGATGTTATTAAGGCATGCATGTCTATACTCTTATCCTGCTTTGACAAAAAAAATTGGCTCGATGTTTGGCCCAACTCTACCGGAATTAATGCTTTCTCTATCCCATAACTTTTTATATTTATTCTCTATTCCATCTTTTACTAATGAATATACGGGTATCCCATAAATTTTTTATATTTTTAGTTTTTAGGTGTGACAGAAAGACTAAATAATTTATTTCATCTTTTACTAATGAATATAGCTAGTAAAATGGTCGGTCTGGTGAAGTTTGGGTTCGATCACCTTAAGTTTAGGTAAATTCGGGTTCGTGTTGATAGCTACATGTTCATGACCCAATATCATCGGATTCGGATTGACCCAACAGATTATGAGTTTCATTTATTTTTTAAAATTATAATTAATTTTTATGAATGATTGTCAATATTACGAATAAAAAACTAAATATGTAGAAAATTTTGAAAAAAAGTAAGATAATTATGCGATATCATTAAAAATATATTTGAAAATATAAATTTATATATTAAAATGAGTAGTAAGAAAAGAAATAGAATTAAAATCTTATTTTTAGAACATTATATAACAGTACATATTAAAGCATATGATTTTGAAAAATTCTTACATAAGCGGGTCGGTCAAGTCGGGTTCGGGTTTGGTCGGGTTTGACTCATTTTTAACGGGTAATTTTGGGTTTGGTCTACTTCGGGTTCGGTCAGCAAAATCTTTGTATAAAACCCATTATTTTCGAGTCAGGTCTCGAGTCAAAAACCAGTCAGGTCATTTTTTGCCAGGTCTACTAATGAATATATGGGCATGAATTACTTATCTTTTATCAAAACAAGTCCCAAAATAATATTGTTATTTGTTTGACAAATAACAATATTTCATGCAAACTACAAAAAACATACAATTATTAAATTGACGAAAACTAACTTAAATGCATTTCATACAAATGTGCTATGAATTTATAAAGGAAACATTACCCAAAATAATCCCAACTGTACCTGGTCTTTCAAAAATAATCTCACATTTCATTGTGATGCATAATAATCTCAACTTTATTGAAATTTGTTACTTTTAGGTTGCCGTTAAGTTTCTAACGGAGGGTTAACGGAAATGCCCGTTTTAGGCAACAAAATGAAAGTTGGGATTATTTTTGATGAATTTTTGTTTTTTAGTTTTTTTTTTGAAATTTTTATTTAAATTTTTTGAATTACTTTCAGCCTCCATTCCTTTTTCTTTTTTAAAGATTATTCTTACCTTAGAAAAAAATAGATATAAAAAATAATGAAAATGAGAAAAATAACTAAAACCATACAAAATCAATCAAATAAATAATGTAATCAATAGAAATTAAACAGAAACAGGTAAGAAATAAAATAAATATATACGGAGTGGTGGATTTTAACATTTTACACACTATACCGAGTCTTAATGTACTACTTATTTTTTAAAAGAACAAGCCGTCCGGTAAAGTTGGAATTATTGTAGATAATTGTTTCTAAAAAATAAGAAATGATATGTTAATACTTTGTATAATGTGTAAAATACTAAAACCCACCCGTATATTTTTATTTTACTTTTACCAATTTCAAGTTAGTTTCCATTGATTACCTTATTTATTTTATTATTTTTGTATCATTTTAGTTACATTTCTCATTTTTTTCATTTTTTTATATCTATTATTTTTATTTTTTTAAACTAAGACTAATCTTTAAAAAAGGAAAAAGATATGATGATGGAGGTAGAAAGTAATTTTAAAAATTTAAATGAGGAATTTAAAAAAAATAAAAAAAATGAAAATTATCAAAAATAATCCTAACGTTCATTTTGTTGCCCAAAACGGGCATTTCCGTTAACTCTCCGTTAGAAACTTAACGACGACCCAAAACTCGCAAATTTCAGTAAATTAGAGATTATTATGCATCACAGTAAAAGGTGGGATTATTTTTGAAAGACCGAGTAAAGTTGGGATTATTTTGGGTAATTTTTCCATTTATAAAATACGGAGTAAAATGATATCTTACTTACATAAGATGCAATATACAAACAACACAAGAATGGAATTATAAATTTTGGAAAAAATTATTTATGCATAAAATTCAAAGTTTGGTCAAAAGTATTGTTTTCTTCATCACAAGCTAAGAACACATTTTTACCACGCGACTTGGGGTTATATTGTAAAAAAAATAACAATAAGAAACAATATGAATTATAAGAACCAAAAGAACCCATCAACGACTAAACTCGAGATCATTTTGACAAGTCTCATTGTTTAAAATATTCCTTCCTTCCCAATTTAAATTGTATATTTACCAATTTACTAGATCAAATTTAATTACTTTCTTTACTCATTTTTGTTACTCATTTGATAAGATAATAATCATTTCACCTCTTGTTTTGTATAACTTCAATTAAACATCATAAACAACAACTGATAACTTAAAATGGGACAGAATAACCGTTTAAAACACAGTAGTTCCATTAAAAGTTTCATAATAAATTTACACGGAAAACCTTTGCAAATAAGAAATCACATAAGAAGCTTTTATCTCAATAAGCATTTACTACTTGTCAAAAATCAAGAAAAAACAAATTACACAAAAAATGGACTCTAAGATTTTAGAATGTTGGCCTCTATCTTCTCAAGTCCTTTTGTGCTTCCATTTCTTTTGAAAGTAAAATATAAATAAAAAAAATACTCTGTAACATTTATCAATTAAGGAGCCCATATGAATGCAGAGTAATCTCAAACATATAGAAAAATGTGGATTAATGTTTTTTTTATCTCACAGCCTAAGCATTCGGCCAGCTATTGAGAGCATAGAGAGTGACACAATAGTCTCTCATCAAAAGCTTCAACATCACCTTAGAGCACTGACAATGGTAGTAACGCCCGGGGGCGTGAGGGGGCGTTTAACGCCCCGGAGGCGTTAAACACTGCCCCCCGGCGGCGTTAAAGGGGTGTCATCGCTTGCCCGTCATTCGTTTGACGCGGCTCGACCCTTCGTCATTCCCCCCAACGGCTCTCCCAACGGCTTTTTTAGCCGTTCCCCCCCCCCCCCAAATTAAAAAAAATCAAAATTTAAAAAAAAACCTATAAATTCCCCTAAAAAATATCATTCTCTCACACATCTCTCTTCATATTCTCTCTAAAATATTTATTATTTATTATAAATCTTTAAAAAATATATTTTAAAAATAGGTTCATCTTCCGACGATGAAAGAAGAGCTTTATTTTTTCGTTGTTTCGCAACGAATTGTATTCAATGGTGGGAAGATGGCCAAGAAGAAGCCGAATCCTCCCGACGAAGGACCCGACGCCAACGTCTAAACCGGGATAGAGAGGCCGCCCATGCTTCACTTCTAAACGACTACTTTAATAATCCGTGTGTTTATACACCAGAGGATTTTAGTAATCGTTTTCGGATGAGTCGTCCTCTCTTCTTACGCATACTCACCGATGTTGAACGCGAGGTTCCTTGGTTCACCCAACGGTTTGATGCGAGAGGCCGACGCGGGTTTAGTGGCATCCAGAAGTGCACTGCTGCGCTCCGTCAGTTGGCGTACGGGACGACATCCGATATGTTCGACGAATACTTGAAGATGTCGGCTCGGAGCATCAGGTCCTATGTTTATAAATTTTCAAAAGCTATTATTCAAATTTATCATAAAAGATATTTACGCAAGCCTACAGCGAGCGACATCCATCAGTTGCAGGCAAGGCATGCCGCAAAACACGGCTTTGTCGGCATGCTTGGGAGTATTGATTGCACGCATTGGGAATGGAAAAATTGTCCCACTACGTGGCACGGTCAATTCTCCCGGGGAGATCATCCCAAGCCTACCATCATGCTCGAAGCTGTTGCTTCGAATGACTTGTGGATTTGGCATGCTTTTTTCGGTGTCGCGGGCTCGAACAACGACATCAACGTTCTCGATCAATCGCCTGTTTTTGACGATTGGGTTAATGAGACCGCACCGGACTCCTCTTTTGAGCTTAGAGGGACGCTTTACAAGCGTGGATATTATTTGGCCGATGGAATATATCCGGATTATTCCACGATTGTGAAATCCTTCTCCGAACCAATGGGTCTTAAACGCCAGACATACAAAAAAGCTCAAGAGGCGGCGAGAAAAGACATTGAACGAGCCTTTGGGGTCTTGAAGGCTAAGTGGCACATTTTAGATCGTCCGTCGAAATGTTATTCTCAGACAAAAATGAGGAATATCATGTACGCATGTATTATTCTTCATAATATGATCATAGAGGATAACGGGTCTGCGATTTATCAACACAACCCGTACGAGGATGTGCCTTTGTACGAAGAAATCACCGAAGAAAAGAAACAACGCAACCGCCAAGAAATTCGAAGCCGAGAGATTCACAATGCACTAACGGAGGATTTGATTGAGCATATCTTTAGTCGTTCGAATAATTAGTGATTTCTTTGTACTGTTGTTTTTTTATGTAATTTTTTTAATGAATGTAATTTTTTTTTGAATGTTTTTTTATGAATGTAAGATTTTTTTATAATGAATTTAATTTTTTTTATGCACTAGTGTAATTGCGATTAATTAAAATAATAAATTAATTTAAATTTATTAATTTAAATTTAGAAGATGTATATTTAAAAATGTAAAAAATGAAGGTTTGAAGCCCCAGTTTGAAGCCCCGGGGCTTCAAAACCATTTCCAGTGAATTTTGGGTGTAAGTTAAAGCTGACGTGGCAGAGAGAGAAAGTTTGAAGCCCCGGTTTGAAGTCCCGGGGCTTCAAATGTATTACCAGTGCTCTTAGCTTCTTTGCTCTGTACGGAGTAAAAAAAATAAAAGAGGGTAATATCATAGGTGACAAAATACAACAGAACAGGGTCATGTGGCAATGATTAGACAGCAGTTTCTCTATTATACATACCATTTATATAAATATGCAAAGAATTGGAGAGGATGAAATCCTATTTTGCCAATTTATGGATGCTCCAGATATAATCTAAATATCTAATAAGAAAATTATTGCCCCAGGTCTGAATCTACGGTCAGAGAAAAACATACTATACGGTTTGAAAAGCTCAAATTTAAGAGTAAATAAAAAAAAATATAGACACGTGAATCAAAGGTCAGAGAGGGTCATCAGTTTGAATACCACCAGTTTTGACAAAGCTTCTTCGGATTCTTCGCTAATGGAGTCATCAGTTTTCAAGCTGCAAGATGAAAAGATTTTTAGTATTTGAAACTGCAAGAATAATGGTCACAGAGAGCAAATAAAAGTGGAGCTGATTATTATTTTAATGTAATTATGAGACATGAAATGGCCAAGGGAGTAATAACAATGTAAACTTGGGTAAGTATGAATGGATGAATAAGTAGACAATGACACTGTTTGTACCATCAATGATTGTCGACCATCAATGATGGTGAAACGATCCAAAATGGTGGCAAGCTAACTAGTCTTCAGTGATTATAAGACATAAAATGACCCTAGTAGCAATGTTTCTTATGAGAAAAGTAAAAATGGATACATGGAGTGTATGGTATAAATAGTAGTGGTTGGGGAAAGTAACTAAGTGGGGGTGCAAATAGATTAGTGATGTGCATACCTTAAAATATGTAAGGGGGTGGAAGAATAGGACTAAGTGGAGACATAAATCATTGCCAATGGAGGAAAAAATATACCAAAGTTATTTAATTAAGCTTTCTGTCATTGAATACATGCTGTTGGAGATACATCATAAGCACCTCTTCTATGACCATCATAAGAGTACCTAAAAGCTACCTAGTCATGCCAATTTTTTTCCCTCTTCATAAGTTCTTAGCTTTTCCACTGAAAATATATATATATATATATATATATAAATTACAGAACAGCAATCCAGGATCTCTGAAGAAACCATGTATACAAAGCATATTCAAAACTCACACAAATACAATGAATGGGAGACATGTTTCCACCTAAAATCTGTACTGCAACTTGAAGCAGCATAATCAATAATCACAGAAAGGTAAAATTAAATATGAAAAAAATGAATTCAAAATAATTGATTGTTTGAAAGGTCTAGATTAAAAAATGAATTCAAGAAAAAAATACCACGTAAAATGGTGGCGCCGCTGTTGAATTTGTGTGAAGTCATTGACCTACGGGAAGAATCCAAAGCCAGAAACATTCTCCCTACTCAGATGTAGAGAGGAAGAGACACATAAGGATCTGTCCAAATTGGAGGATTTGAATGGAGAATTAAAGGGGAGTTTGGGTTACTGAGGAACCAATGAACTTCCGAATGAAATGTTTGTGCTTTTCAATAAGTCGACTTCCGATGAACATTTAATGTAGCAACATCTATCTTGCATCCCATCTGGCCTAATATTCCCTCATTAACCTGTTTGAAGTAATCACATGACCAAAATAGATGATCCCCATCTTCCATCCCATTGTCAAAGAGGATATATTCCAAGTTACCATCAGCAAACTTACTTATCCTTCACTTGGTTTGCAATCCGTCTCTCATAAGAAGCCAAACAATAGTATATTGGTGTTTCAGGATACTCAGTCTATTCCAGACAATACTAGTCCAATCAGGTGTATTATGCTCTCTAGTTAGCCATCTCTATCCCTCCTTTGGACAGTAGTCTCCTACCTTTGGCATCCCAATGATTTCACCTCTTACGTTATCATTTTTTTCCAGTAGAAGCAGGAGTCATATTTAGGTATATAATTCCAGATATCACTCCCTTTGATATACCTAGCATGATTGCATGAATACACTTCACCCAAAGGTTAATACACTAGAACAGATGTAGTATTAATAAATTTACAATGCCTAATTACTTATTGGTAAAAATTTTATAATCTCACACGTGACTAATTAATTATTTCTCTCTCCTTTGCACTATTTTAATCACCCAACTTTATTTTCATTAATCTCCATGCCCGGTTAATTGTGTAACGCTTTTGTGGGATAGAAAGAGTGATTTATAACTATATACGGAGTATAAAGGAGTAGAAGTCTCGTGTCTTATCACCTCATTCAAATTCTTTCTAGTATCCCCCCCTCCCTACTCCCACCCTGAACTGTAAGCATTTGACATCTATACGCCTTAACACTCTGGCGGCTCACATGCCCAAACTTTCTAACCAAGCTTCTTGCATTGTATACTCGACATATGCCACACCTATCAATTAGTGTTACGCATTTAAAATCTCAACATCTCTATCCATTAGTGATTATTTAAAATATGCCTAAAAGATTTACAGAAATCACCTTCAACAACAGCAAAACTTGTAAATCTTAACATTTCTATCAATTAGTGATTGTTTTAAATATGCCTAAAAGATTAATGCAAATCATCTTCAGAAACAGCAAAACTTGTTGTATTTGCTCATTGTCAAGCAATTGTATGATCGAGAGCATATAAATAATGAGCATAGAGAAATAAGAGAATTTAACATGCTGTGCCGGTGCAGCCATCGTATCATCTAATATACATAGTAAATCAATTAATCATCACATCACTACCTCCGCGTAATTTACTGCCTGCGATCAGGTTTGTGTGCTATTGGTCACAAGTGTGTAGAGGAGTTTTGAAATTGCAGCAGATGTTTAAAACAAGGTTAATAGGATACTGGATTTTAGTTGGTCTTGATTCCAACCTATGAAATGGAGATTATATATAAAAATTAACAACACATACATGCTATATTTATTACGGCTAAATGATTTGCCTGTATGTGACTACTCACAGAGCATGTAAGACTCATTGAATGAAGCATCCTTACAATATATATAGCAAGCAATACTCCCTAACTACCCACCATTAATTGGTACCCTTCATTCCATATTAACTGTCTAATAAGACATTCTTGATATAATTAAAAAGTGAATGAATGTAGACACACTTTATGTCTACATTCATTCATTTTTCAATGTACCATGAATGTCTTATTAGACCGTTAGTACGGAATGCAGGGAGTACCTATTATATTTATTCATTTCCCGCATTATATCAATGCAGAACTCAGAAGCTACGTGCATTGTGTGGGTGCACCGGGAATTGGTGTAGGCCACTCCGGCACTACAAACTGAAAGACATTACGCAACCTGTATTGAATTTCGACGCATCTCTCAATGATATTCTTGTCAAACACTCTCACTTCCTTAGTCTCCAAATTGCACGCGAAGATCCGCCTGTCCCCTACTTTTTCCGCGCTGTGATAAAAATATATCACATCCTCATCATTTGGATCCATGGTCAAAAGTCTGATTCGCTGTACCTCGATGTAACCCAACACGGCGTAGTCATCAAAGTCACTCTCGTCATCACTGTTCATTTCGCACTGGAGTCGCAGAGGGGCGTCGTCCGTGATGAAATCCCGGAAAACGAGCTGGTTCACAAACCTCCACTCTTCTGTCTCATAGTCCTCTAATTCCCAAGTCATGAAAACCCCTTGCCTACCACCAGGGTGGTCATAGTGCTGGACTACTCGGAAACTCCCGTTGCACTCCCCAAAACTCAAGAAAGACCTACAGTATTGGCCCAGTCTATATCTAGGTGGCTGCTCAATCACGCGGCATCTAGCTGGCTCAAAGGGATTGTAAGCCACAATGCTATCATCATCAGTCCAATTCTCAAACAATAGTAAGCCATTCCAGCACAACAGATTATTCATTGCGTAACTCTTATTTTTAAAATCAAAAACCAAAGGGGAACTGTTGGGATGGCGTACCTCTACCTCCTCCCATTTGTTTGTTTCCGAGGAAAAGACCTCGTCTACGAAGGAAATAGCAGTATAAGATTCCAAATCATGATGAATCCGAACCACTCTGTAACTCATCCCATCACCAGAGACCACCAGACCAGTGGCTACATCTTGTTTCTAATAGCGTGGCACAAGATTAGATCTTTGCACGATGCTGCTATTCTGACGCTGGCAGCCTTTCTAGGTCTCGAACAAGGAAGATAATCGAACTTGAATCTGGGAAACTGGAACATTGGGTGCTGGGAAGCCACATAGTTTGTCATGTATTTGTCCTCACCTAGTCGGATCCGAATGTTGATGACCATGGAATAGGGCAATGGCTCGCCGGGATGAAGAGTTCTGTGCAATTCCTTCCAGCACTTGAGAAAGATGGGACTAGAGATCAAGTAACGCCACCGCTTGGAGACCAATTTGCACCGAAACGCCATTTTGCAATAGGGGGTTCCCCTGCAGAGGATTTCGACCAACACAGCATCATCGATGTCCTCAATGGAAGCTGAAGAAATGCCTGCTTCTGATTTCGTCAATGTCGCCATTGAAGCAAAGATGTGTGAAATTGGGGGTTAAGTTGGATTTTTCTTTCTGAAAAAATTGGGAAACGAAGTGAGATGGGCTTAACGGAGCAGACGGCTTCTAGCAATTGTATAGGGAGGGAATGCTCTTTGTTTGGGGCGCACGTCAACTTGGGGTCCAAACAATTGCTCCACGTCATATTCACATATCACTATGGATTTATTGACTCAAGTTGTTTTTTTGAGTTAGGCTAGAATCATAAATAAAATACTGCTATGACATTTGGTAGGGAGGAGCTTGACGATACACGAAAGCCATGTTGGATCAAAGAGGCAGCAAACCACTTAATGTGAGCAACTCTACCAATTATATTGATCACCCACTTAAGTTGAGGATGGCTCAGAATTGTGAATGGACCCTTAATGTTGACGGGAGTTGCAAACCACTTATCAACAAAGCAGGTATCGACTCCTCCGAAACAGAAGAGGCGGGTGGAAAGGGGGCTTTACGGCTAATGTTAATCTAAATTGTGCGACGTCAGTGGAAGTCAGGGTAATTGCTAGAGGCATTAAGTGGGCTTGGGAAAAGGGTGTTAAGGAACTTGAGGTCTAGACAGACGCGAGTGAAGTTATAAAGTGGATGGCCGACTACACTTTTCTTAGGGGCCCTAATCGAGATATCATTGATGAGATTAAGCACAAATGGCAAAGAAAATTTACAAAGATGGAGTTCAAAAACATATTTTGAGAGCAAAACTTTGCGGCTGACCGCCTTGCTAAAATTGGAACCTTCCAAGAGGCGAATTAGATTGACCACGAGGACCCTCCGCCTGGGATGGAAGACATCATTGCTAATGACATGATGGGTGCTACCAGAGTTCGTATAGTGCATCTAAGCTAGTCTAGGTCTCCCCTCCTTTCTAATTTAAAAAAAATACTCGCAAAATATACAAATTTACCATTTGAATATTTTATTTTTTGTTTTTAAGTATTTGAGACTATTATTTGAACTCATTACATTACATATTCGACAAGTTTGTGAATTTTGTGAATATTTTCTTTGTGACTGTATCATTACTCTAATTTTTCAAAGGTAAGAAGATGCTAATGTACCTTCATTTTTTTGCTAATGTGATACTTTACACTGTACAAAATATTAGTACATTTTTTTAGTGTATTACTCCCTCCGTCCCAAATTTTTCTTCTAAATTTCTTTTTTGAGTCGTCCTACTTATTTCTTCTCATTTCCTTATTTGGTACTCCCTCCGTCCGGAAATAAAGTTTACGTTTCTCCCTTTTCTTCGTCCGAAAATAAAGTTTACATTTCTAATTTTAACCCACACTCTTCCAAAAATACCCTTCTCTACCATTTAAATCTTCTCTCTCCCTCTCCCCCCTTCCTCCTCTTCTTCCTTAGTTCCTCTTTTTTTCTTTTTCTTTCTCCCATCCGCCGTTGTGAACTTTCAATTCCCCCTCTCCCCCTTCTTCTTCTTCTTCTTCTTCTTCTTCTTCTTCTTCTTCTTCTTCTTCTTCTTCTTCTTCTTCTTCTTCTTCTTCTTCTTCTTCATCTTCTTATTGAAGAAGAAGAAGAAGAAGAAGAAGAAGAAGAAGAAGAAGAAGAAGAAGAAGAAGAAGAAGAAGTTTTCTTTCTCCTGAGCAGAAACGGACGTGACCAACGCCAAATGAACCGTTTTTGCACGAGGATCACGAATATCCAGTCCTTTTTTCCAATTTTGCCTTGAACTTCACGAATTGAAGATTTTAGGCTCGGGAAAACCCTAGGATCCGAAATTGGGGGTTTCTTCAAATTGGCTTCAATTTCTGCAATTGATGGTTCCTCTGTGGTTGGATGGATTGTGGGAGGTGCCTGGTGGGGTTGCGCGACATCAGAGGTGGCGAAGGTGGCCGGAATTGAGGAAAACCCGCCGGAAACCGTCGGGCCAAGTCGCGGCGGCGATCTGGCGATTCCAGTAACCAAATCGGCTGAGACCGGTCGCGTTGGAGTCGCCTGTTCTGTCTCCCGAAGTAGGATGGGCTATTTTCCGATATTGAGCTGTTTTTTCGATTTTGAGCCAAGGATGGGCTGTTTTCCGTATTGTGTTCAAGTGGAAAAGCAAAAGGGGAGAAAGGGGTATTTTTGGTATTTTAAGTGCTTAGTAACCTCCCAATAAAAATGACAATAAGTCAAAACGTAAACTTTAATACCGGACGGAGGGAGTATATTGTTTTGCCAAAAACACTAAGGGGCTGTTTGTTTCAGCCTCTTAATGGTTCAGATGTCTGAATGGTTCCTCACTTAATGGTTCAGACTGTTTGTTTCAGCCTTTTAATTGTTCAGATGTGTGAATGGTTAAGAGAATTGCCTCTGAATGGTTAAGTATTATACAGAGTCTGAATGGTTAAGACCTCTTATCTGAATTGATCAGACATTTGCCTGTAACGCCCCGAAACCTGGCCCAAAAGAATTAATTAAATTGTTAGAGCAATTGATTACGAATTGGGCCCAATAAAGGGTTAAAATTATAATTTGGATTTTAAGCCCAACTTTTATGTCATCTCGTAGGAAATATTTTTGTGATCGCGTCGATTCCGATGGCTCGCGAATCGGAGTTATGGAACTCAAGTTATGACCATTTAATCAGGTATTTTGGGTCCGAAGCCCAATCCTTTTTGGAATGGGACCATTAAATAAACCTAAACCACACAAACCTTATTTTATCTTCTCCTTCTTCGATTCTACTCTTCGTCCGTTCCTTTTTCTTCTTCTTCTTCTTCTTCTTCTTCTTCTTTTTCTTCTCCTTCTTCTTCTTTCTTCTTCGCCGCCCAGCCGGTCGCAAGCCAGGTCCAGCCGCCGTCGCTCACCGCCGTGAGCCAGCCGCCGGTCGTCGCCGTCCAACTGGAGCAGCCAGCCGCCGGCGTCGCCGCTCATCGCTGCCGTCGATTGCAGCGCCGCCGAGTTGCAGCGCCGCCGCTGCTTCCTTCGCCAGTAGCCACCGCCATCATCGCCGACGGGTGCAGCGCCGCCACGCCAAACGGAGGACGTCACCAAACGCCGGACGCCGCTGTTTCGCCCTCGCCGGAATCGAGAGCCGCCGTCGCCCGAGCTTCCAGCCGGTCGCCGAGCCTCGAGCCTCCGTCGCCCGAGCTTCCAGCCGCCGTCGCCCTTTGCACAGCGGCCACCCGCCGCCGTCGAGTGCAGCGCCGCCAGTCGCTGCTCATCGCTATCGAGCTGCCGCTCCGCCACTGTCGCCGGCGTCCGTCACCGTTGCCGCATCCGGCCGCTGCCCCGAGTTGATATCGCCGGCAGATTAACCTCCACGCCGGATTGATTGGTCGATTTCGTATTTTGACTCGATTTGACCCGTTCGGTTGATTTCGTTGATTTGTCTTCCGTTCGAGCTATCGATTCGATTTCGGCGTAATCCAGGTCCGTACTATGAAGTTAATAGCATTCAGAATAGATTTAATGGTTTGGATCGTTATATGTGTTTATGCTATAATTTGGCTAAATTGGTTAATTGAATTAAATTGATTGTTTGAATTGAATTGTTGAGGATTGTGAATTGACTGAACAGGTTTGACTTTGACTTGGGTTAGGTCATGTTTGACCTAGGCTTTGACTGGATATTCTGTTGTCGTAGGTTTGACCGGATGGTTAAATCCAAGACTTTAATGAATTAGTTAAGTTAATTAATTAATTCTAATCGGTGATTAAGGTCAATTGGTTTATTGTGTTGAACATAGAAACTGGCCATCGCTCG